TTTATGGGACGGAGGGAGTATAATATAATATAATATAATATAATATAATATAATATAATATAATATAATATAATATAATATAATATAATATAATATAATATAATATAATATAATATAATATAATATAATATAATATAATATAATATAATATAATATAATATAATATAATATTATAATAATAATAGTAATAATAATAATAATAATTTATAACAACAAGAATTTAAAATAAATGTTTATAAAGTTTTGTTAGGTTTTCCAATTTTTTAAAGTTTTTCCAGTTTTTTCCAGTTTCTTCCAGTTTCTTCGAGTTTTTCCAGTTTCTTCCGGTTCCTTCCAGTTTTTTCCGGTTTCTTCCAGTTCTTCCAGTTCTTTCCAGTTTTTTCCAGTTTCTTCCAGTTTTTTCTAGTTTCTTCCAGTTTTTCCATTTTCTTCGAACATCCATCTCTTTTTTTCCAGTCCTAAAGGACAGGCTCTAACTAGATATTACTAATCGGATCGGAAAGTTTCCAATAATCAAAGGCTTGAGGGGTGATTAATTCAATTTAAAAGGAATATGGATGTAATTCATAATCAGGTAATGAATCTTTTAAGATTAATTTTAGTTGTTGGAATACTTATTATATTTAATTTTGCTACGAGTGAATCAATGATAGTTACATATTAATTCAATAATTAACTCTATTTCTAGTAATTATTTATAAGTATTAAAGTGTCTGGCTAATAATTTTGATTTCTCAATGAACATAATTATTTTTCACAAATTTGACTAATAACCTTTCAGTACTGATAGATCACAATAATAACCCACTTTAATAACAACTAGCAATTCAATTAATTTAAGTGACATTCCAACCAAGTAATTTCGTCTTAAATTTCCATTACCCTACTACGACTCACATCCCTAATAGATTTAGCTACTCATAGCAATAAAATAAGACATGTAATTTCTGAAACAAGGCATAATTAAATGGATAAATTAAATAAGAAAACTTACTTCAACAAGATCTGAGTATCGGAAGAGATCCGGACTACAATTTCCTCCGAGAAATTAAAAATTTAAACTTGAACTACTAAAACTACTAGAGATTATGAAATGCTAGAGGAGGAGAAGAATGGAGTGAAGATGATGGAAATGGGGAGGGGGCGGGTTGCTTTTGTAGGCCCCAGAGTTAGGGCATCCAAGTTGGGGCGTCTAAGTCCGAGCCTCCAACTCTGGAAGCTCCAACATCGGGTCGAACAAGCTCCAACATCACCCCCAGGTTCATTTGTCCAGGTTCCAGGCCAACGGGGTCATGCTAGTGGGAGATTGTTGAATATGTGAGCCTTAGAGGCCAATCTATGAATAAGTATTCGAATATTTATTAAGAATAAAAGGCTCTAAAGATTGTTTATACATCTCATGTATCTAAACATAGTTGTAGTCCATAGATTTAGTGCTTTGGTAGAATAGATTAGAACTCAGATGTTCTGATTATGAGACTATTATATTATTAGAGGCTATGTCTAAAATATCCTTTGTCGAATATTATGATAATACGAACACTATAATATACTAAGACTAATACGTATGAGACAAGATAGCTGTGTATCATAGGCTATGGATATTCTGATAATATGTTAATTGAACGGAGTAGAATATTTAAATGGGATGATATAAAATAATATTATATATTTATATGGGACGTGTGACGTATATATAAACTATATACATTGACATTTTAATTATGTGATAATTAAGGTTTGTCAAATAATATTTTTGTACATAGAATAAAATATAAATTTTATATATATATATATATATATATATATATATATATATATATATATATATATATATATATATATATATAGGGATTGACTCCAGTGAGATGACACCTTACGGTGACATGACATGCTTCAGTCAGATGACACAAAGCTCACCACTGGCCACTACAAAGCTCACCAAAGACAGCTACAAAGCTCACCAAACTGTAAGGCAAAGCTCACCATATTTTTACCACACTTTGAATTTTTTTTCAAAAAATAAAATCAAAGGAAGGGGTGCTGACTGGACTTTGACTGTTGACCGCAAGCATTGACCGCCGCCTACCGCCATCGCCAGTCGCCGGCCGCCGTCGCCGGTCTCCGGCAGCCACTTCCGGCCGCCGGCCGCCATCGCCGGTCTCCGGCAGCCACCGCCGGTCGTTGCTGCTCAGGCTCCGTTGAACAGTGGTTGACCGGTGTTGTTATTTTATTTTTAATTAATTTTTTAATTTTAAATTTTAAAAAGAAGTGAGTTTTGGGGTTCAAAGTTGTGAGCTTTGCTTTATTTCCAAGTGAGCTTTGCTTTGTCCATTGGTGAGCTTTGTAGTGTAGTGTAGTGAGCTTTGCGTCATCTAACCGAAGCATGTCATTTCACCGTAAGGTGTCATCTCACTGGAGTCAATCTCTATTTATATATATATAAAGTCTTGAGGAAATTTATTTGATTACATCATAGAACTCGTCTTAACTGTCTAATTATAAAAATGAAAATGATTTTCAATTTAGAGCAGTTCGGGGGGGGAAAGCGCGTACGGTTCAGGTCACAATTTTAATTAGGGAGCAAAAAAAGTTAGACTTCTCAAATTACCCCACATCGTTCGCCCCCCCTTGCTTCCCCATTCATCCCACCTAGTTTTCTTCACCAAGGAATACATTAAAAACAAGGCCCTCCCCTTCCTTCTCTCTCCCTACTTTATTTTCTCCGCCAATTAACATTCACACATTTGCCTCTCCCCCTATCTTGGAACGGATCAGCAGTGGCGGCAGGAAGGTAGGCGGCACTCCGGCGAGGGAGGAAGAAAAAGGAAAAGAAGAGGAAGGAAGGGAGAGTTCGTGCGTTGACTATTCTTGAAACGCGACCACCATTCGTATCGTCTTCATTCGTCAACGCCACGTTCTAGAGGTGAGTGCATTGCCCCTCTAGCTTTAGAATTCATAGTCATATCCAATATGGATATATCCATAGGATTACTCAACTAAACTTATGTTGAATCCATATAAACGTAGAATCTTCATTATATTGTTTCGTGTGACGTAAAACTCGGTAATAACATCTTTAAATCATAAGAATATATCCTTATGTGTTTATGTTCATGTATTAAAAAGGAATCAAGACATAAAACTACGAAATATGCCAAAAATGTCAAAACACCGTCGGGACTAGCACCACGGTTGACCATACGAGATGGCCTACCATCTGTCATGGGACGGCCCACCGTCTGTCGTGGGACGGCCTACCATCCGCCACAGTCATGGGAAGGCCTATCGTCTTTCATGGGACGACCTACCGCCTACTGTACGTGACTACATAACGGACAGAAAGTCCGTTTTTGTACCCCTTGACCCGACTGATTTAACTCAAAGGTTGTGTCATCATTCATTCCATCAAAGGTTGTGTCATCATTCATTCCATCACGCATGACGTAGACACATGATATAGGAATCACTCATATCATAGCATAACCACTTAAGGGGTCAGGCCTAGTGCGCTTCTTATGGTGGGCCCGTCCAAGAGCCTTCAGGTCCAACGAGTTTTATTTGGAGGGCTTGTGTACGTACATGATAATTGGGGTCCGATTACCACCCATTATTGCTAGCCTCATCAAGAGACTAAGGTAGGCTCAACTCATCACCCTCGTGGGATGACTTCAGAGCGCAGGGGGTCCCTGCACGGCTAACTCATGCATCATCCATCATGTAGACATTATGAGGTTCTCGTACTTTAAGTACAGGCATGGAACATTTGGTCAATATGTGAATCATTTTATCATTATGAGATTTATGTAATTTAGGTACAAGCTTGATTATAACACTTGGTCATTATATGAATTATGTACGTTATGTACAGGTATGAACATGTGTGTACCTCTCTGAACTATCACTATGTTTTCTACTACTAGATTACCACTCAGCTTATGCTAAGCGTGTGGTATTTTTTTTTCTACGCAGGTAGACTTGATGAACCTGAAGCCTATCCCGGAGGGACACGAGAATGGATAGATCAACGGACAGTGGATGGGGAATTTCTATGACTTCCTCATTATTATTAAATTAAATAATTTGGGTTTGAACCCACACTTATCGTATTTTTAGTTCATGAACTGGACTTATTTTGGTTTTTGCTTCCGCAGACCACATCGTTTCATTTACTCCGTACCTCTTAAGGGATTAACTTCCCAAGACCATTATTTATAACAAAACAAGATCTTTACTTACAAACATAATGAGGACCTTACTTAAGAGGATTTTATTTATTAAATTATGGAAAAAGAATTTATTAACTTTTAGGGAACTACTCAGGGATTTTAATTGGTATAAATATGACAAGGATTTCATAGTTAAGTGTTTTCATCAAAGTCTTTATTTTGATGGTCTTTAATACCATCTATGTAACCCCTTTAGTCTGTTGGATCATGGTGAACCGGGTTCATGAGTCAGAGGGTGTTACATTTTTTTCAATTAAAATTTTGAAAAAGTATTGTTTATTTATTTTCTAATTTTTCTTACATGGATTAGTAAATTGCTAATTAATAAATGCAAAAGAGCCAATAACACTATAAAAGAATAAACAAAATATTATATGGCAAATATTCATATTAAAAAGTAAAAAAAAGTTAAAAAGAGTGTGGGTGACTCTAATACTACTTATATGATTTGTTACAAAAAATATAATGACAAAGAAGAAAAAAAGATGTAAAAAATTGAAACAGTATACTATAAATAATAACTAGAATTTAATAAATATAATAATCTTTTCAACACGTTTCATGTTTTTTATACTTTTGATTTTCTAGTTTTTTCCAACTTGTTTGAATTGAATCAAACTCTTTTCAATTTTTTTCAATTTTTTTCAACTTCTAATTTTTTTCAATATTCAACTATGACCTAAATATTTATTTTATAATGCTAAAGTTAAAGGTCATAGTTATTCTAGGTATGCTCGTCGAGATCGGTGGTGACTGTTAGACAAGCACATAATTTTTTTACGATAAAGAGAGAGGGAAAAAAGGGCGATGGTGCCATGATATGTGGCGGTTGATCATCATCAATGAAGAAGACTGGCGCACGGTTGTGGATGAAGAAGGGGGTCTAGATTTGTGAGAAGAGATACCTTAACTTTGATACCATATTAAATAATGGAATAATTGTATTATTCAAGGAATAATAGAAGGGGAATTTAACTAAATACTTCTAAAACATATTGACATTCCCAATGTAGTACCATATGTTTTTGTTTCCCAATGTAGTATCACTGTTCAATGTCCACTGGTCATTGTTCAAGTAAATATTTACCTTCATTGGACATTGTTCAAACTAAATGTCCACCACCACTAGATATTGTTTCCGCCACTAAACATTATATCAGTATTATTTAGGGAATAAAAAGTTTAAGTACTACATTGGAAAAGAACATATGTTTTAATACTATTTAGTGCAAATTTCACATGATAAAATACATGGAGAGTATGGGTGTTATAACCACAACTAGGAATAGGAATCCGCAAATTCATATGTTATAACCTACATATGACCAAAATAAGCATTTTCTTACTACTTAAATAAGCATCTTTTTAAAAAAAAATTGAAAAAACGATTTTTCATGTGAAAAGGCCCACGAAAATGGTATGCATCCAAAGTACACCAAAGAAGCACTCATAGGAATCAATAACAGAAACTGACTACTCCCTCCGTCCCAAAAAGATTTACACGTTTCAAAAAAATTGTGTCCCACAATCCCTTACCCATTTCTATTAAAAAACCACTTTTACCTCTTACTTTTTCAAACCTTACCTATCACATCATACCTTTTTCTTAATAATCTACACATCACATTCTACTTTTACCTATCACATCAAGGGTATTTTTGGAAAGTCAAGACAAAATTATCTCTCCCTTAATTTCAACTTTAGTCAAAATGGGTAACACTTTATGGGACGGAGGGAGTAAAATATAAAGGGAGAAATACGAAAATAGCACTTTAATAGCCTTATGATACTCAAAATAGCAGTGCTATTAGTTTTTCGGATGAATTCCCGTTTTTGTCCTTAAATAAACTCCCAAAACTAGAATTATACTGCAATGTATACTCTTCACTGCCACATTATAAATAAGTATGAAATTCTCTGCTCTTCACTGCCACAATATGCTTGAGATTGAATTTAGTGCCCTAACACATACAACATTGCCAAAAAAAGAGCAGAATTTATTTTAAGCCGTGACCTTTTATTTTTTATGGTATTATACACTGCAATATATACTCTCTACACTGCCACAATATGTACTTCCAAAAATTCAATGTCTGAAATACACTGCCACAATATATACACTGTCACAATATATCTACACTGCCACAAAACACAATAATTAAAACTAAAAATACAGCGAAATCCGAATAAAAGGATGCAAGACAAAATTTTAACATTTAATTTTCACACTGCCCACACCATAACACCCAATCTTCACGCTGCCACAATATATACACTGTCACAATATATCTACACTGCCACAAAACACAATAATTAAAACTAAAAATACAGCGAAATCCGAATAAAAGGATGCAAGACAAAATTTTAACATTTAATTTTCACACTGCCCACACCATAACACCCAATCTTCACGCTGCTAAAATCACAATGTCTTTCAAAAGACCTAATTTTTCAAAAGGGACAAATACTTGGTATTTCAAAATTGATTTCACAACATACACCTAATCTTCAATACGAAGAAAACACAATAATTAATACTAAAAATACAGGGAAATCCGAATAAAAGGATGAAGGAATGAAAATTAAAAATTGAAGGAAAAGAGAAAATGATTAGCGACATCAAAGATTAGAATGCGAGAGAACCTGATGATTGCCGTTGCTGATCGGCCAAGGAATCGTGGGCGAAGGACTGAGGACGCATCATCGCCGGCGAATGGAAGGAGAGACCGTGGAGTTCAATAGCGTGCGGGAGAGGAAGGAGAGATTGGAGTTGAATGCCGTAATTTTTAATGAAAAAAAAAAAGAAAAAGGGGTAAAGGGTATGATAGGAAAGGATTGACACCATAAATTGCTAAATTTGTTAAAAACAATGAATAGTCCTAAATGCGTAATTTAGGGTGAGTTAGAGTGCTATGTAAGGTGATTTCTTAAATATAAATACTACCAAACTAATACTGCCATAATTATTATTGTCATAATTTTCTAAAGCCCTTTTTAGTGAACCACTGGATACTACCATATGTCTACTTCTCACGAACTAGTATGTTACTCCTTTCGTCCACCAAAGATTTTTCTAATACGCGTTAGGGTGTTTGACCGACTTTATTTTCTAATCAACTTATTTGATTATAGGGGTAAAATTTAAAAATAAAATGTACATAATAAAAAACTACATGAAAATTTCTACAAAACTAGAGGTGACAAGACTATATTATTTCATGAAATGGGTAGTAAAAATAAACAAAGTAAGTTAAATTTGATCCTGTGAATAGTGTTTGAGAAGATCAATGGCGGAAAGAGGTAGCACATGTTTATTTTTTCTTTTTATAGTTTCCATGACATGAGAACCCCTCCGATCCAATTATAGGAATAAACTAACACTGTCATGGGAACCCTCCGTTATACAATTATAAGAATTAACTAACACATTACGTTCACGAGTGCTTCTTTGGTGCACCTTGAGTGCATATCATTTTTGTGAACCTTCTCATATAAAAAATCTTTTTTTAAAAAAACAATACTCCGTACTTATTTAAATTGTAATAAAATACTCCCTCTGTTCTAAAAAACACTTCGTCTTTCATTTTTTCTATTTCCAATAAAACACTTTCACTTTCTATTAAAAATCCATTTTTATCCTTACTTTTTCATGCTCTACCTATCACATCATACTTTTTCTTTAATAATCTATACATCACATTTTACTTTTACACATCACATCAAGAGTAAAATTGGAAGTCAACTACAATTTAACACTCCTTTATTTTTACACTTGGTCAAACTAAGAAGCCTTTATGAGAACGGAGAGAGTAATTATTTTTCCCATATATAACTTCACGGTAAATCTTAGGTCTACTATAAAATTTGGGTACGTTCACTACATTAACAAAAGAATTCCAGCAATGGAATACATCATGTATTACGCAATAATGGAATACATCACGCTTTGCACAATAATGGCAACGACCATTTCAAAGCGAAATGATTTAATTAGAATCCAAATCAAAAGGAAAACGTGTTATGTTAGGGTCAAAATGAAAAAACATTTTCCTACGAAAAATAGTGTTCATCTTTTTGACTATATCAACGAACGATAAATCAATTTGTATAGCCTTTGAAAAAAATCACTTCCTCTCTTTCTAAAAATATTTTTACTACACTTCTTACTTGCATAAAAAAATCCACTTTCTATTTGAAAATCATACTACTTAGTAATATTTACCCTACAGATCATATTATATATATTCACTATTATTAGAAAAATAAAAATAGTTTTATTGCATCTACACTTAGAAAAGTAACACATTCTCAGTTGCCTACGTACCCTAATGAAAGGGATCAAGCTAGTCATACGTAGTTCAAAAAAAGATTAGTGTAATTAACTCGATAAACCTTCAAGGCGCGCGTGATCAATGGGAATGTTATTTTAAAACTTTCTTATCTATCCTATTATAAGTAACAAGGATGGCAAGATAGAATTTTTGAGATATAACAAAGGAGACCGAGTTGTTTGATTACTCTTCGACACAATTTGCTAATATACCTCAATGAGAGTTATCTCGGACAAAGGGGACAAAACACATTGAAAAATAATTAATAATAAATTATTCGTGTACATATTATCATTAATTGATACTCCGTATTTCATCATCATAGGAAAAACAAAATAAATAAATACATTATTTCTTCATTAGTCCATATAATAATAATAATAATAATTAGAAATAAATTATTCTTGTACATACTATTATTAATTAGTATTTCCTCATCATGGAATAAGCACTCAAGAAATAAATAAATTATTTGTTTATTATT